CACGTGATCTTTATAGTCTCAGCTTAACCAGTGCTATTGTGCTAATAGCCTCTTTGTAGCATACACTGGGCTTACAATAGACGCTAAGAAAATCGGGTATATGTATATATATATATATATATACACAAATATATATACATAAATATATATACATAAATATATATACATAGGGTATAGGGTATAGATACACAACAGGTATTCTTTCAACAACAAATTCTAAAAAAATAATAATAATAATAACAGGGTACATATATAATAGGTATTTTTTCCAACAATGAAATCTAAAAAAACAACAACAAAAAAAACAAACAAACAGGGGTACATATACAATAGGTGTTCCTTTGACAATATTTTCTAAAAGATAGGGTACATACAATACGTAATCTTTTTTTCAACAATATACAGTTGATGGGGGATAGAGTGGTCATGCTCAGTGCATAATTAGTGCATCTTCCAAAGGCTGAGGTAATGAGGAATATTTTAAATTTACACATTTTGCATAAACATTTATTTCTATTATATTCCAAAATAAATATGGCATACTATGTACATGTCTCTCATTATTCTGTGTCTGCGTGTGTGTGTGTGTGTGTGTGTGTGTGTGTGTGTGTGTGTGTGTGTGTGTGTGTGTGTGTGTGTTTGCGAGTGTGTGTCTGTTTGTGTGTATGTAAGTATATGTGCATATCTGCCTTTCCTTCCTACGAAAAACACCCTGGAAAAAAAAGAGAGAAAAAAGCAAGGTTCGGCAAAAAAACAAAAAACAAATAAACAAACAAACTATACAACAAAAGCATTCTCCAACTCAAACTAAACTCGTTCAAACTCAAACAAACCCCCAAAAAAGAGACGCCAACAAGACTGATTAAGGCAAGCAACAAGCAACTCGAGCCAAGTGCTTTTCAAGGAACACGACGGATACATGGGGGCAGGAGGGGGGGGGGGGGGGTAGACTTGGGGTGGGGTGGGGGTGCAGGGGTGTTTCGAAGTTTCACGCATGCACGCACGCACGCACGCACACACACACACACACACACACACACACACGTATAAAGACTGAGACACTCGCGCGCATGAACATTTACATACATACGGAGAGAGAGAGAGAGAGAGAGAGAGAGAGAGAGAAAGAGAGAGAGATTAATGAGAGAGAGAGAGAGAGAAAGAGAGAGAGAGAGAGAGAAAGAGAGAGAAAGAGAGAGAAAGAGAGAGAGAGAGAGAGAGAAAGAGAGAGAAAGAGAGAGAAAGAGAGAGAAAGAGAGAGAGATTAATGAGAGTGTGCGATTATTCCTAATCAAACCTAACCATAAAAAGAATTAATAGAATAGACAAAGAAAATGGGACATGAAAAAGCAAAGAGAAACAACAGAACAGAAATACCATTTATTACTAATGAAGGCTTGTTATAAGGTAAGATTTTCATTATGTTGATTAATGACGTTACTTAATATGTTATCTACTTTCGTTAGATTCGGTGTTTTTATTTTATTTCTTATTAAAATAAAACTGATAAGTAAATGATTAAAAACATAATTATCAATACATTTATTCGATTTATTAAAAAGATACCGAGATTTTACAGAAAAAAAAATAGACTGATATTAAAAGACTCGCAAACCTTAACATTCACAAAATATAATAAAAAAAGATTACAGTCCCTCCAAAACCAGTAGAATAATGACTCAAAACTTCTGAAACGCGAACCGAAACTCTTAGCTTCGAAACCGACCGAAACCTCGAAACCTCGAAACTTCGAAACTTCGAAACTTTTCTTCCGAGAAATTCAACGGAGACAAAAACTCGAAAACTTGAAACTGAAACTCGAGCTTGGCGTTAATCAAATGATGAGCTAGCGCAACATAGTCACCGTTGCGGTTCGCCCAAAGGGGAGTGTGTTTGTGGGTGTATGGACTTTCTCTTTTATTTGTCTCTTTTACCGTTTCCTCCTCTTTGTGTCTGTCTTTGTGTCTCACTGGTCTCCTCTCTCTGTCTCTGCCTGTCTATGTCTCTATCTCTATCTCTGTCTGTCTGTCTGTCTCTCCTTTAATCCCCACCCCCCCCTCTCTCTCTCTCTCTCTCTCTCTCTCTCTCTCTCTCTCTCTCTCTCTCTCTCTCTCTCCCTCTCTCCTACTCCATCTCCCTCTCTCCCTCTCTCCTACTCCCTCCCCTCCCTCCCTCCCTTCCACCTGCACCCTTTTCGGCGTGACTAACCAACCGTGTGCGTTCGAGTGCGAGAGCGAGTGTGAGTGAGAGTATACGACCGAGTGTGAGTGCGTTTTCGATTGTGAAAACGAGTGTGAGAGCGAGTGCGAGTGCGTTTTATTCAGCGTGACCAACCAAGGCGGGAAAGAGTACGTGTGGGAGAGCGAGTGTGTGTGAGTGCGAGTGTGAGTGCGTTGTATTCAGCGTGACCAACCAAGGCGGGCAAGAGTGCAAGTGTGAGTGCGAGTGTGTAGGCAAAAGCGTTGACACAGCGTGCTAACAATAGCAGTGTCGAAGCCGA